ATCGCTTCTGCCCACTACCAGATAAAATCGCTTCTGCCCACTACCAGATAAAATCGCTTCTGCCCACTACCAGATAAAATCGCTTCTGGCCATTACCAGATAAAATCGCTTCTGGCCACTACCAGATAAAATCGCTTCTGGCCACTACCAGATAAAATCGCTTCTGCCCACTACCAGATAAAATCGCTTCTGGCCATTACCAGATAAAATCGCTTCTGGCCACTACCAGATAAAATCGCTTCTGGCCACTACCAGATTAAATCGCTTCTGGCCACTACCAGATAAAATCGCTTTTGGCCACTACCAGATAAAATCGCTTTTGGCCACTATCAGATAAAATCGCTTCTGCCCACTACCAGATAAAATCGCTTCTGCCAACTAGCAGATAAAATCGCTTCTGCCCACTACCAGATAAAATCGCTTCTGCCAAGTACCAGATAAAATCGCTTTTGGCCACTACCAGATAAAATCGCGTCTGACCACTACCAGATAAAATCGCTTCTGGCCACTACCAGATAAAATCGCTTCTGCCCACTACCAGATAAAATCGCTTTTGGCCACTACCAGATAAAATCGCTTCTGGCCACTACCAGATAAAATCGCTTCTGGCCACTACCAGATAAAATCGCTTCTGCCCACTACCAGATAAAATCGCTTCTGCCCACTACCAGATAAAATCGCTTCTGCCCACTACCAGATAAAATCGCTTCTGCCCACTACCAGATAAAATCGCTTCTGGCCACTACCAGATAAAATCGCTTCTGGCCACTACCAGATAAAATCGCTTCTGGCCACTACCAGATAAAATCGCTTCTGGCCACTACCAGATAAAATCGCTTTTGGCCACTACCAGATAAAATCGCTTTTGGCCACTACCAGATAAAATCGCTTTTGGCCACTACCAGATAAAATCGCGTCTGACCACTACCAGAGAAAATCGCTTCTGGCCACTACCAGATAAAATCGCTTCTGGCCACTACCAGATAAAATCGCTTCTGCCCACTACCAGATAAAATCGCTTCTGGCCACTACCAGATAAAATCGCTTCTGGCCACTACCAGATAAAATCGCTTCTGGCCACTACCAGATAAAATCGCTTCTGGCCACTACCAGATAAAATCGCTTCTGGCCATTACCAGATAAAATCGCTTCTGCCAACTACCAGATAAAATCGCTTCTGGCCACTACCAGATAAAATCGCTTCTGGCCACTACCAGATAAAATCGCTTTTGGCCACTACCAGATAAAATCGCTTTTGGCCACTACCAGATAAAATCGCTTCTGGCCACTACCAGATAAAATCGCTTTTGGCCACTACCAGATAAAATTTTGCCTTTGAGCTTGCCCCAGTTATCTCAGACATTTTCAACTCATCCATGACACAAGGCACCTTCCCAAAGGCATTGAAGAGATCTATTGTAGTGCCTGTCCCTAAGGTATCACCCCCAAAGAGTATTGAAGACGACCTACGACCAATATCTTTAACATCTCAGATCGCCAAAGTTATGGAGGATTGTACTTTGGACAATTTTTTTCCTGAAGTTGTAAATAAACTTGACACCAAACAATTTGCACTCCCAAAGAAATCAACGACCCACGCTTTGGTCTACCTTTTACATTCAATCTTGGTAGCTCTTGAGAGAGGTTCCTGTACTGCCAGATTGTTCTTTGCAGATTTCAAGAAAGGTTTTGACCTAGTAGACCACAATGTTATTATTAAAGAATTAACCCTGCTTGGTACCTATCCCTCTATAATTCGGTGGATTAAAGCCTTCCTCTGCGATCGCGAACAATGTGTCCGGGTGGGAACTTCTATGTCCTCTTGGAAGAAAACAAATGGTGGCTTGCCACAAGGTACAAAGTTGGGTCCATTATTGTTTGCTGTTCTCATTAATTCCTTACTCAAAAACTGGCCCAGTAGGATCAAGTTTGTGGATGACACCTCAGCCCTAGAGATTATACCACGTTTTTCATCCAGTTTAATGCCATTAGTCGTAAATGAAATCTCGGACTACGCCTTAGAACGTGGAATTGAACTAAATTATAAGAAATGCAAACAAATGTTGATCAACTTTCTTAAATATAAAGGATCTGATGATGAAAACCCGATCTATGTTTTCAGGTAAACCGGTGGAAACTGTGTCCTCTTTCAAACTCCTAGGTGTATGGATGTCAAACGACTTGTCATGGAATACTCATGTCGACATGGTATTGAAAAAGGCAAATTCTCGCTTATACGCATTGCGTCTGTTAAAAAAGGCTGGTCTTCAAGCATCTGACATCGTCCAAATATATATCTCATTCATCAGATCCAGAATTGAATATGCATCCCCTGTATGGTCGTCAATACCTAAATCATTATCTGACATTCTCGAATCTGTTCAAAAGAGAGCATTGAGAATAGCTTATCCAGATCTGTTATATGATGAAGCCCTTGAAATTTCAAACTTACAGTATCTGAGTACTCGTAGAGACATCTCTTGCAAGAAATTCGTCGAATCTCTGCGACGTGATGTTTCACCCTACAACCCTTTGACCCAAATTATGGAAATTCGTCCCGGGGTAAAAACTCATGATTATGACTTAAGGAATGACAGAACGGCCGAACAACCTTTATGGTCAGAAACCACTGAACGGTTAAAAAACTTCGTGACTAGAAAATATTATTAGCTTTATAGTTAATTAACAGTCCTAACTAAATAAACATTATTTTATATAATATATATATATGTACATTTTAATATAAATTTTTATGCTATATTAGTACTCCATGTAATTCAGTTTTCCTTTAAAAACTGCAAATTGGTTTTAATTAAACAGATTGATTGATTGATTGATTGATACTTTTGCCGAACATAACTTCGGCCCCTTCTGACGTATCTTCTTTGTAATAGTCTTGTTCGAATCTCTATCAAAAACATTATTTAGATTGTTATGCTTGAGACTGTATCTTCAAATTTGCATCTTTTATGACCGTATTTTCATTATTTTTTAGTCTGACTTTGAGATAACCCCATTCAATACAATTGAAAAATGTCAAAAACAATGCGACCTTTGTATCGTATGACTCCGGAAATGCCAGCAATCGAAAGTTTGGAACAAGCTGTTAACAATTTGTAACAAGCTTGATGGCATTATCAACTTGTTACAAGTTTGTTCCAACAAGTTCGTTACAGTCATGATATAACAAGAATGTTACAAGGTTGACGACACAAGGTTGCAACAATATAGCTATATCATAATTGTATCAGACGCGTGTTGGAACAACCTTGCAACAAGTCTGATAATATCAACAAGGTTGTTACAAGTTGTTAACAGCTTGTGCCAAACTGTTGGCAACTTGGGACAAGCAGTGCGAACCCAACTTGTTGACAACTTGTTGGCAAACTTGCTACAAGATGTGAGATTTTTATGCGTATACAGGAGCTCCTTATTGGCCAAGTATAGCGCGTGACACGGGCATGCAAGTAAAACCCGATATCTTGAAAAATTCAAAACAAATATTTCTACTCGCCGTACATTCAAACGAAACTTTCTACACGAAAGCGTTTGAATACAAATAGTATTTTCCTCGCATAGCCTTTGAGAAAATGACGAAAAGTTTAGAAGATATTCAACTTCTTCTCAATATGAAATACAGAATGTTTGGCCAAGCGGTGAGTAAATATATGATTGTTTTGGTTTGTGTAATGTTTTGACGGCATTTGACCCCACGTTCGAACGGTTATTTTGTGAGGATTTCAATGGTGGCTTTCGTTTAAAAGAGGGGTGGGGGTAAATATTCGCAAAGGTATTTACATTAGAAACATTGAATCGTAATGTAATGCGAAACCACCTTGCCGAGAAGGAGGTGAAACACATTAGTCTGACATCAATACAAATGGTTTGATCCGTGGAAAATAAATTTCAATTTTGTAACCCTGAAAATGAAGAAAGCAATGGTACACGAGGCATTCTGCTGAAACGTGCTACCTAATAAGTCTGATGCAAAAAGTTGGAACGCAAGATTTTTTACACGAGAAATTGTTGATCTTTGCCGACGCTTTCCTACGTTTTTCTTTCCAAACAAACGAACTAAAGTGGAACTTGATCCCACTTTAATTAAATTAAGCCATTCTACCGCATTGCAGCGAATATACTATTCTTTTTTAATATAAATGTAGTGTTGAAAAATGGCCTTCAAGCGTTCTGATTGGCTCTCTCAGCAGTAACCTGGAGGCAATAGTATATCTCTCAGACTGCTCTGAGCGGCAGTAACCATTCATTTCAAAACAAAATGGCTGCCGAAAATCCACTTGCAAACAAATCATCGATGAAAAAATTGAAGAAATTAAAGCACATACTATTCCTCTAAAACAAAAGAAGCAACAATATATGATGTTAACCTATTTCCGGAATGACAAAAGAACCTGTTAGATGCCTAAGACAATTTATTTGGCAATTTAAAACCGGAAAACAACAGAATCGGGCGGCACGGTTCCGACAGCTGGATTCGTTTGACTCAAAAGCGGAAGAGTGACATAAATTACATTTGCAACGTTTGTATATATTATTATTTTTCAATACTGAATTTATACTAAAACAATTATTCGCAGCTCAGTGAGTATAGGCTTGTAATCACCTCGCTTCGGTGACTAATGTTTGAATATTATTTATTTAAAATATCCATGGCTTCTGATTGGCCAACAGCCAACTGTAAAATCGTCATATTAATTCATACCAATTCAAACAAATTCAAAAGGTGTGTTTGTTTACTGTAAATTGTCGTCCGCTAATCCCCCGGGGGAGCTCTTGTATATTCCAGGTTTAGTAGAGTGCATGGCCGGGTTGGGAGAGAAGGGGGGGGGTGCGCATTGTTTTCCACCTCCACTGAAAAGTTATTCACCTTCCCTTGGGAAAGGTTAAAATGGTTGATTAAAGAGAAAATTTTTGCTTAGGGTCTGTACTTTGTGATAAAGTTTTTTCTATAAAATTAAAACAGCGATAGCCATTTATCTCTGCTTATGTATATATTATACCCTTTGATGCAATATTTCGTATGGAACTTTGTAGTAATGTGATATAATCAAGATCAAAATTTTATGAGTTGTACAGTCATATTTCAGGAATACACTGACGCAATATGCAAAGTACATAAATCAAGCAGCATATTTGACGTAGTTGACTTTAGGGGAGCGGAACGTTATACGCCCTAATGTTCCATGGAGACCTTGAGCTAAACCGCCGCTCCTCTTCTAAAGTTTTTCCCACCTCCACTATTTCCACAAAATTCCGGCCACGATATAGCTAGAGTGCATGTAGGAGAGCTTACTTGAGTTGGAGAGGCTTATTAGAATTTTCTGTAAATATTTTTTAAGTTCGAAACTATTTTTTGCAATTTTTAGAAACGACCAATCTCCTGCAACGATATTCTGACAAAATCAGCAGGGGCTACAAGTGGACTTTATAAAATCTCTGTTGACAACAAAATGATGACAGTATATTGTGAAATGGTTTTCCATGGAGGAAGTTTCACGTTTATCCCCAAGTCAGCTGTCAGGAAGGGAACCCTACCCAAGCTTGTATCACAACTTTTCACAAACCACTCTGAAGTTCTTTTGTACATTCAAAAGAAAGATGGAAGTCAGACGTACACCCACATCCAACAACTGGGAGAGCAATCCCAAACGCCTTTGGTAGTCTTACAGAATACAAACTCAGGTTAGTTTGTGAAAATGTGATTATATGAAAGTTACATTGCTAATGTTGTTAATTAGTGCTGACGACCAAATTGGAAATTAAAATGGATTACTATGGGTGTGTGCTAAAATGGTAGTACTTCGTGATGGCGCAGTTGTTATCGTAATGGCAGTATACGTTTCTTAGTTTCCATAATTAACAATTATTCGCCGAAGGCGAGGTGACTATCGGTGAATAAAAACTGAGACAAAGTCGAGTTTTTTATTCACGATAATCTCCGAGCCTGAGGTGAATAATTGTTTTAGTATAATTTCACAGGTGATTATTTGGAAAAAAATAAAAAATACGCATTTCTTCGTCATTTAATATTGATAAAACGGCTTCGGCCGACATTTCGAAAATAGCTTAGGTAATTATCGCGTTATAATCACCTCAATGCCGACCAATCAGCGTGGAAAAATAACAAACACTTTACTTAGATAAAGAAAATTATTGGTTTCCCAGAAGTTTAAATTATGTAAATTTTTTTGGTATGTGATATTTCACATATATAAAACATTTTCCGTGTTGATATACAGTTATATCAACACGAGTGGAAATTGGGAAAACGAGAAATTGTGTGCATGGAAACACGACGCCCGGAGGGCGGAGTATTTTCACACAATTTCCACGAGTGTTGATATAACTATATATCAATACGGAAAAAAGTTTTATATTTGTTTTATAATATATAGCACAAAGAAATATAAAGAAAGAAATTTTCCCACGTTTCCGTGTTGACATTGAGTTATATCAACACGGCTTTTTAGCCAATCAGCGTTCAGAACTTACAAATGCTATATTATAAAAACAGTTATATTTCATACCTGAGATCAAATAAGCCTTTGGCAAGATTCGGAGTCACTTATCCAATACAAAATATGACAAAAGTCAAAAGCATGCTTTTCTTCATCGAAATATACTCAAACGAAAAAGCCAAAAATTTGCAAATCACACTTGACATTTGATACACGACATTCCACGACTCATTGCGCGCGTGGCCCTTGTCTTCTAAAATAGATACACGAAAAAGCGCGACCAATCTATCCCTAGTTTAATCATAAATGAATCTTGAAGCATAAATCTGGCAAAAAAATGACCATAAAAATGTCATAACATGTGAAGGTATGTCATGTCATCGCAAATCTCGGACCATCGATTCCATGGACAAGAACTTCTACGAGACGTCCCTTAAATCTGGATCCATATCCGAATCTAGTCCCTGCGTTACAATACTCACACTGAAGAAAAGTTAGCTATATCAATTTTAGTCATTTAGAATAACATCCCAACTTGGGGGCAAAACAGCACTAAGTGGGGGTCAAAACAGCACTAAGTATGGGGGCCAAAACAGCACCTAAATATGGGGACCAAAACAGTCTAAATATGGGGTCAAAACAGCACTAAGTATGGGGGTCAAAAGGGGGCCAAAATGGCACTAAATAATATGAGGGCCAAAATAGCATTACGAATAGGGGCCAAAACGGCCCTTGAGGTGCCAAAATAGCCCTTGACTTGTGATCCGTTTTGGCCCCGGTTTAAGGCATATTTTAAGGAATTTACAGTGGTGGTCCAAAATTTACGGTAGGGCCCCCGCGTCCCGCCCCCTGCCGGTCAAGCTCTGAGTATTGAATATTTGTGCAGTAATCGTGTTAAAACGCTTCCTGAACTTATTGTGTATTACAGTGTCACATTCAACACACATTTATTATTTCTAGTTTCTACACTACAGACGGGTACGCAATTGATCTGACTAAAAATACAAAAAATACTGAAATGATTGTAAATGAAATGCAGTGTTGAAAGTGTTCCAGTTCCACTCTGGCACTCTCCACTAAAGTGACTAAACAGAAGTAATTTACAAACATCCACTTGATTCCCTATAAAATGTTCTCATATACTCTCTATCCTTAAAAAGTTCTGTGTCAGGTTGGGAATTTCTTCTGCTTTTTCGTTTTAGAAATTCTGCTACTGCCTCCCTTGGATCAAACAGAACAGTTCCTTTCCCATTCTGTGAAACTTGTAAAACATTTTTTATTGTTGTCTGTTTTAGACAAGCTAGCTCTGTCTCCTGTTTTTACTCACCTGATGCCAAGTCATCGACAATAGAGAATTAATGCTATTTTCATCGTCGTCAGCAGCTGTATTTTAGATCCATCATCTTTTGTTTCCAACACAGCGGGAGCTGAGCATGTCGATGCACTTTCGCCTCTGACGAGGTATTTGTATTGCGGTGAAAAAAGTCAGATAAAGTGGTTTGCCCATGGTTCATAATAGATATGTTCAATTCTCGCAGTCTCTTATTTTTTCTTTTCTGATAACCGCTCAATTCCTTTCGCTTGTTGTTTGTCGCCATATTTTTATAATGTACAAATTTATAAAAATTATCATTTTATATTTAAATAAAAATCGTGAAACATTGGTGACATGTGCCCCCAATACGTAATGTCAGCGGAAAAATATGGGTGTACTTTGTGTTCTGCACGTGTATAATTTGAAACAAAACCATAACTGCAATATAAATGCCATCAAAAAATTGAAAGTTTATAGACTAGCGTTTTAATAGCTTGTTTAAGGTAAATAATTTTATATTCTTGATGTAAAATGTAAAGACTGAAGCTGCGGGGGCCCACACAGTGGTGGGCCAATACCCTGTGAGTGGTGGGCCACTTGAGGGGCCTGGTAGGCCAAATGGCCCACCAGTCTATTATTTAAAATATGCCTTGCCCCGGTTAGAGTCAAAACGGCCCAGTTTTCAAAAAGCCAAAATGGCCTTTCTAAAATTACTGTGAATATTCTTACTTTTTTTTACTAAAATGCTCAGCTTTTTTGTTGATAACCGTGGAATTATTTTGGATTAGTGATGTCATAATTTTCAACAAGATGGAAACGCCATCAGCACGCTGAAAACATCATGTGTGTGATAAGTTTAATTCCTATCCATGCAGTGATAATACCATAGTAATGGTGGTATATTGTTATAGGGGAAATTTGAAACGCGAATTTGGGATTACGAATCATCGTATATTGGTATAAATTCCGATCCTTGCAAGCTTATACACAAAACGTCCGCCTTAGTAATCTTATTTTCTTTATTAGGGCCTGGTAGAATACCTGCAAATTCGTTCATGTTGGACTATCTTTATCTGAGCACATCAATTTATACTAACGGATTCCTATCCAACAATGTGGAAGTGAAATATAATAATGGCAATTTCCCGATCAGAAGTTACTTTGCATTCTTTCCCAACCATCGTGGACTGAATCCAATCACGAAAGCTAGCGCTAGCTGGGTCTACGAAACACGAGGGGTTGCGGTAGATTGGAGGAACACTGGAATGGTTCTGCAGACAGAAAGAATACCAAGTAATTTCTTTTACCTAACTGAGGTACATTACGGCGGAGGTGGTTGTTATACATCCAGTGATCGTTGGGTTGAGGCAAACGGAACTGCAATTGGACTACGATAAAATGAACTCCCATTTCAAACTTATTTATAGAATAACATTTATAGCACGCGGGCGTTGATTGATCGAAGAGCGTGTTTCTATTACCGTATGAAAACACGGGAAACTTCCCCTCTCGCAGCTTATTTCTAAACGTAAACTGGAAAAATTTACGATTTCCATCCGTATTTTTGGACAATTATCACTTGTTGAAAAAAAAAGAGTGCTTTTCTTATATACAACAATCTTAAAAGATATAAAGAACTTATTAACCTCAAAAGAGTTTGAATTTCTGCACAATAGTTACGATACAGAATTACCTATGGCAACACTATACGTTTCAATATGACGGATAAGTAATTTAAGTATAGTAATTTAAATCCAAAACGGCATTGATAGCCCACAAATTTTATTTCAAAAAATAATTCCTCTTGGTAAATAGAATTATCTTGACAATTTAAAAAATCTATTAAGCCAAAAAATGTTATGTAATTTGAAAGATTTTTGGCAGGACGAAATTTTTTAAAAATGGTCAAAATAGTTGAGTATACAAAGAGAAATCATTTTATGAAATAAACTTTGTTAGTTTGTTGGTCATCCATATAGTTTAAAGGCAAATTACCATAGAAATAATAGATATAGAATGCGCACTTCATCACGAATCATGTCTCCACTTTTTCTCATGCGTTCAATATGCCCTTATAAATCCGCCATGTTGCATTTGACTATAGGAGATTAGGAGTGCACACTATCCAAAGTATAAACAAAACTAAACTACGTTTTCATTGTCAAAACGTGTTGTCTTATTGTAGTTTGTGGATAGATTTTGAAATATTATCTTCTTTAATTAAAGGCAAGCACTCAAAGTAAATTTGCAGTTATAAAAACGGTAAAAATGGTGCAGCCTGGTAAAAACAAAGTAAAGTTTCGCGTAAATATAATTTACTCATAAAACATTGTTGCATGCTCTAAACGTCACTACTGTCACTGTTTTGCTAATATCTTATAAATTTACAAAGTGATAAGTTTCGTTTTTCTTCAATGTTAATGAAGTGTTTTCATGTTCTTGAAACGCATATATATATATATATATATATATATATATATATATATATATATATATATATATAGATTGTCTATATCTTAAAATTAAATATCGCTACTCTGAGTTTCACGTCCTTTCTAGACGATCATCAGGCGATTTTGTTCACGATTTTGTTACTGATTACGTGATTGCATCATCATCAACCGTTCGCTGACGCGTTAACTTGTTTGTTCGCGCGCGTTCGAATTTCCCGGCGCTGAATTTTTCTCGATGGCGACATTTCGCGAAGAACTGGGAATACAGTATTAAGTGGTCCATTTTGAAACGAGCAGCAGCGTATGTACCTGGCGGTAGACGTTGTAATCTGTGCATAGAAGAGAAATTAGAAATCATGAAATCATATAAAACCAATCTGTTGAACAAAAGATCCGAGTTCTTCGCGAAATGTCGCCATCGAGAAAAATTCAGCGCCAGGAAATTCGAACGCGCGCGAACAAACAAGTTAACGCGTCAGCGAACGGTTGATGATGATGCAATCACGTAATCAGTAACAAAATCGTGAACAAAATCGCCTGATGATCGTCTAGAAAGGACGTGAAACTCAGAGTAGCGATATTTAATTTTAAGATATAGACAATCTAATAAGCTCTGCTATACTTTTAGTATTGAGCACTTTATATATCTAGGCAACCAAAACAAATTGAATTATATATATATATATATATATATATATATATATATATATATATATATATATATATATATATATATATATATATATATGTGTTATTGTTCAATATATATGTGTTATTGTTCACTCCGTAATATGATAAGTAGAAAATGTTCTCGAGTCTGTATTTCATAATTTCAATTAACAGCGTATAGCAGAAAGATAAAGTCTGCGGCGGCTGGGTCTTGAACCCGCGACCTTCGAATTACTAGATCGAAGCTCTACCAACTGAGCTACACGGTCAGACGGATTTAAGACTGGAAATTATGAACTATATACTGAATGTCATAAACATACTCGTTTATATATTAGTTCAGCATCGAACCATTAGTGTTATGTTATGTTGTACGAGTGAACAATAACACAACATAACATAACACTTGCATGCAGAACTAGTATCGTGCGATGCTGAATTTATATAAACGAGTTTGTTTATGATATTCAGTATATAATTCCTAATTTCCAGTCTTAAATCCGTCTGCCCGTGTAGCTCAGTTGGTAGAGCGTCGATCTAGTAATTCGAAGGTCGCGGGTTCAAGACCCAGCCGCGGCAGACTTTATCTTCCTGCTTACGCTGAGTATGGAAATTATGAAATACACACTCGAGAACATTTTCTACATATCATATTACGGAGTGAACAATAACACAACATAACATAACACTTGCAGAACTAGTATGGTTCGATGCTGAATTAATATAAACGAGTATGTTTATGACATTCAGTATATAGTTCATAATTTCCAGTCTTAAATCCGTCTGACCGTGTAGCTCAGTTGGTAGAGCGTCGATCTAGTAATTCGAAGATCTATATAATATATATATATATAAATATATATATATATATATATATATATATATATATATATATATATATATATATATATATATATATATATATATATATATATATATATATATATACTCCTTCCCCCCTACACAATTTTGCTACTTATGCATGCGATGTATGTTGGAAAGTGACTTCATTTTATTCAACATTGTTCCGGGGGAAGTGGGGAGATTTAGCATTCAAGATCATTCACTAAGTTATTTAGGGGAAAATGAATGATTTTAACACTTTATAATGTATTTTTGTGGAATTAACAAATAGTGTCCATATATTTTTTCCAGGATTGTCTCTAAGGTTAAATCAGATAAAACAATTAGGGATGTTGTTCAGTGGTGGTATTTTTTACACATATGTTATATCACTAAATTATAAACTGCATATTACGTGGATGTAAAATTTACGTATACGGAGGGTGTGATTCTTGGATTTTTTTCTGTGGGTGCGATTGACCATCAATAGTGATTTCGACGCGTTAAATCAAAACATCACAGTACATTAAAATAAAATTTACGTACTAAATCAAACAAATGTTTAATGGATGGATGAAATGGATAAGTCTAAGCCACGAAGGAGTTTTCTTGTTACTTACACTCAAGCAGACGAGCAGAGGTTCCCAACCAGGGAATTGTTTGGCGAAGCTGTGGCCGCTGCATTCACTTCAAAACGAAGTAAAGTTGTCCCGCTACATTGGGCATGTTGCCTGGAAAAGCATAAAACCTTGCCTTGAAACTCAGTGGTACAAAGAGATGGCTTGAAGCAAAGAAATTTATTGAAACAGAACACGGTATAGCTGTTAACTTCTCTGATCACGACGACTATACTATACTGTATATCAGTACATAAGCAAATCTGATGATATGGTTTTCCACAGCACAGGGCACCCGAATCTCGATGAAATTGGTTCTCTAAGAACAAAGCGCTGTCAACAAACATACCGAAAAAGACTCTGTGAGAAAAATTCGTCAAATGTTGCTAATAAAGAAGCTGCTATACCACGTCCAAGAGAAGGAGAAAACTTTTTGGAAGTGGCAGAGTTCATTGTCGAGCATGAAATTAAGTCGGAGACTGAATTATTAGCTGTTGCGAATAAGCAAAGCGAAGAGAGGAAGAAATATCTCGCATATTTTGTTCTTTCACATAACTCAAAGGGCTTGCATGACCTTATAGAGCAAACATGGAAAATGAAGGCGGCATCTGCAACCCTACAACGAAAAAAGCTTCACGAATAGATTTGATACGGAAGGCAGCTGCATGACGGTGAATGTCCATTGTCTTGCGAAGGAAAATGGTTAGAGTGCGCTCAAGAAGTGCTTGTCAACAACAAAGTCCACCCCATATTGTTTGCTCCTGCCGTTAGCACAGGACGAAAAGCGTGTCATTAATTAGCTTTAGCAAAGATACTAAAGATATTAAATGTGTGTTTACACCTTTAATAAGCTGACTAAAGGTGGTTAAATAAAAAGTTACATTTAATCGCATTTACTCAGAATAAAACACCTCTTTTGGAAACTGATACACTTAATTGCATTTAGTGAGGATATTAAAGCGAGTTAAAACCAACATTAAACCGCACATACTTTAATTACCTTTAATGCGCAGTTTGAATGTTGACTAAAGGTAGAAATAACATTTAATCACGTTTAGTTTTATCTTAAATGAAGACAAAACTTGACACACACTGTCGATAATTTAACCCTATTTGTACCAGGGTTTTTTTATGTTAGTATGACCGGGGGTGCGCTGATAGGGCGCACCCCTCAGAAATCCTGTCGATTAATTGAAATTATCCTTTCAGTGTTATTTTTAGGAAGTTTTATCTTTCTTTTACCTAAAAATAACAAAAAAGTTAAATTCACATCCAAAATGATGCTTTTTGGCCTCTTTCATTATGACCGCCTATCAAAATATGGCAAAAATTGCTAATATTTTATCCATTTTGGTTCTTTTTTATAAAAATATAAAAACATTTTGGATGTGATATTTTTTGTTTTATTTAGATTCAAAAGACAGACTTTTATGTTATGGCATACCTCTGATGTCCATAAATACCACTATTTTTCTTAACAATCTTTGCATTTTTGAACCATATGTTCCTGGCATGTTGGATTACCACACGACTGGCAGAGTGATTTCACACATTTTATAGAACCTTTTCTTCCAGAGTAACCCTTTCCAGCTGCTGTTTTTTGACACAGAGTGCACCTCCTTCTACTCTCTCCAAATGCTGGGCCATCATCTGCATCGGATTGGTCATTTTGGCGATTGTCACCAATTATTAGCCCAATCTTTTGTTTGACAACCATAGGCAAACAGGTTTGGTTTCGTCTTGCAATATGAGGTTTGACTAATTGCATAACCAACTGAAATCCATACTCAAAAGACTTTTGTTTGACAGGATCGACATTCTTATTCAAGGCATACATTGTGGATGAATTTACACGAGCCGTATCAATCATGTAGGCTAACGCAACCATGGTCCATCTTCGTGACTTGGTTTTGCTTGTGTGAAATGCCATCCGTTGATCAACAATGTCGGTACCACCTTTCGTAAAATCATACAGTTTGTACAATGCCAACTTGTTACGACTGTCGTCTTTGGTTGTACCAAGGATTTGGTTTAGTGTCGATAACATCAGTACATTCTTCTTCCCGCTTGCTGTATCGACAACATATGACGATAAGGACAGTGGACCATCTTTCTGTCAATATACTTCAGATGATAAGTTCTCCCTGTTCTTAAAATCTTTCATTTCAGCTGGAACTCCTTTCCGATTCATTTGCATTGTGCCAAGACATGTTATATTTTTCTCATACAACCAGAGTGCAATGCTAAGTGATGTATATAGCCGATCAAACGATATGTTCCTTCCAGCTAGCGGCACTTTATTTTCCAATAAGCGCTCAATCATTTGTTTTACAATTGCTTCTGTTCCCTGTACGTAGTACTTTCCACCGTCGTCTGTTGGCTTACCACAGTATGGAGAAGCAATAAATGTATAAGGGTACCTTGCAGCATTGATTGCTTTGAACAATAAACCATACTTAGCTGGCTTATTTGGGTTATACTGCTTGAAGGAAATTTGGTTCCTCATGGGATAAAGTGTCTCGTCCAAAGAGAGATAATCATTTGGTACAAGGCATGACATACATTCAAAGTTGAAAGATTCAAAGATCTCTCTTATAGCGGCAAAACGGTCTTGTTTCCATCTATCGTCCCTTGTACTCGAGTCATCAAAACACAGATTTGCTCGGATAAATGTGAAACCATTTCTTGACATAGTTGCGCTGAATATTGGTGGACCATACGTATTCGAGAATAACTTATCTACAGAGACAGTGTTTAGTTTGTACAGTCCTCGATAGATATACAAACCAATAATGGCATATAACTCATCAACACAGGTTTCCTTTACGTACGCGTATTTACTGTTTTGGGAAACAAAATTATCTGGGAGTGTCGAAATGAAGCTCTGAATCTTTCTGTTGGTGCAGGAAACAATTGTTGCCATGATATCTTCTGTAAAAAACAGCTCGAATGCAGCTCGGGGTGTTGGAGTAACTCTTGCCTTTGGTTGAGGGCCTTGTCTTCCAGTTATGACATTTGCACGATTGTTACGACCGATGTTTGCTGTTGGTGGTTTATTTTGGAAAACACGGACAACATCATTCTCCCGGTGTTTGTCTACTTTCACTACGCTTTCAATATGCTTCAGGTCTTTGGGAATTTGGTATGGATTGTAATTATTTATATCCAGAGCTTTATCGATACTGTTCACAATGCGATTCTTTGTGAGTTGTCTGCGCTTCAATCGACCTGCTCGTATGTCCTCGTCAGATTCAGAGAGTTCATCCATTTGATCCTCTGTTTCATCCTGGCTGCCTTCATTCTCAGCATCTCCTTGTCTTTCCATATTTTCTTCATTGCCTGCAAATAAACATTTGTAAATTTGGGCTTGAAAGGTAACAAGATGCTATTCAGCTTTCATAATAATATTTCAAATGATTTATTGTTTTCCACAGTTAGTACATGAAAAGACATACAATTTCACTGACCTGTTTCTCCATATAAACTAT